AGAAAAAAAAAAAAAAAAAAGAGTCTACGCCTATTGAATGGATGGAAGTTCTAAGAACTGAAATATTATTCATAGGCATGGAAGAAGTTCTTGTGATCTAAATTCTTAGGGCAAGATTGAGGACAACAGAACTATAACATTCTGGAAAAAAAGAATTTCAATATTACCACTTAGCTTAGATCAGTATGTCAAACTCCAAGGTTTCAAAATCAGGGTGTGTGTGTGCCTCTCTATATAAAGAAAGCTGAAATGCCTTTAGAAATCAACTCATCAACTGAAATAAGCTAGAACCAGAAAGACAATACTGTCTCACTTATATGTGGAACAAAAACAGTCGAAAACTCACAGAAACAGAAAGTAGGACAGCAGTTGCCAGGGACTAGGGTGAGAGAGATATTGGTCAAAGGGCACGAACTTTCTGCTAATGAGATGAGTAAGTTCGAGGATCTAATGTACAGCATGGTGGCTACTGTTATTAATACTGTATTGTTTACTTGAAATTGGTAAAAGAACAGATTTTAAGTGTCTTCACCACACTCATGCACACAACAGGCACACACATAAATGGTTAACTATGGGCGTTATATGTTTATGGTTGTTAATTAACTTGACTATGGTAATCAGGACAGGATGTACCTGTACATAAAATCATTACATTGTATACCCTGAATATATACAGTTTGTGTCAATTTTTTAAAGTGGGGGAAAGAAAGCCAATGAATCTTCTAACAAAAGTATAAGGTAATTTCTCCAAGATCACAAGCAGAACTTGAATAAGAAACCAAGTCTCTTAATTGCTGGCAGGTGCTTGTTATACTACAAAAAATGCTAAAGCCTACATGTTTTTCCTGGAATCAGAAGGAACTGGGATCAAGTCCTTGTTCTGCCACCAAAAAGAATGATTTTCAGAGGCTCCTTGCTGGCAATACAGGAATGATGTTAATAAAGCGGCCCACTTAACTCTCAGGGTGGTCACTAAAATTAAAGGAAAAAATATGTGCGGAATCCTAAAACTACTAAATAACTGTGTGTGAGGGGTGTTTTTGTTTTTGTTTTGTTGTTTTTTGAGACAGCGTCTCACTCTGTCACCCAGGCTAGACTGCAGTGGCAGCGATCAAGGCTCAATGAAGCCCCGACCTCCTAAGCTCTAGCAATCCTCCCACTACAGCCTACCAAGCAGCTAGGACTACAGGAGTATACCGCCTTGCTCGGCTAATTTTTCTACTTTTTATAGAGACAGGATTTTGCCAAGTTGCCAAGGCTGGTCTCAAAATCCTGGGCTCAAATGATCCCCCTACCTCAGCCTCCCAAAGTGCTGGGATTACAGGCGTAAGCCACCACACCCAGCCTAAATAAAGGTTAATAGTAGCAATAATGACTTAATTTTTTTTAGCTGTATCAAAATACTGTAATAATACATAATACTGAAAAGTTTCTCGGATGATAGATTTTCCAATGTTTGAAAACTGGCCACCAAATTGACTGCAGCTACAAGATTCTTATTCTTATACGAAACCCTTCACACCATCTTCTAAGCCTCAAACATGTTTCATTCTCTTAATTCTTCATTTTTCCAATAACATTTATCAGGAGGAGGAGCACATTTTGCTCATTTAGATTATCTATGTTGCTGGCACTTTTAACTTACATATCTTTCTAACTGAAACTAAAGCATGCTCGAGAAAACCAGGGATCACACCTTCTGCTCAGGTAAGTTCAATCACTCCCTCAGGCAGCCTGAGGGAGCAGACAAAGAAAGATATTCTGTTCAGTAACCATAGTCAGATGGGAGGAGAGAAGCACTTACCAATAAGAAGGAAAACAGTGACTGATCTATCTGAATAAATTCTAATAAAAAATACAATTCACATTTCTTTTCAAAATAAAAAGACTAAAATAATCTTATATTAACCTATAGATTCCAAACCTCTGTGAACTTAGAAAATCTAAACTAAGACTAAATAATCTAATAAAAATATTTAAATACAGTCAGAAGAAAGTTTATCAATCTAGAGGAAAGTCTCCATTTAAAAAGTTCTATGAGAATTATAACAGCTCACAAACTATCAGGAATGATACATGATTTGACTGAGTAACTTTCACGGACTGTGACTGTTTCACTCTACAGGATTTTACACTATACCCAAGGCATTCACTTTATTAGGAGGCAATTGCTTCCTCTTTGAAAAGTAAGTTCTGCCAAGAGTGGTGGCTCATGCCTATAATCCCAGCATTTTGGGAGGCCAAGGTGGGTGGATCACATGAGGTCAGGAGTTGGGGACCAGCCTGGCCAACATGGTGAAACCGCATCTCTACTAAAAACACAAAAAATTAGCTGGGTGCGGTGGCGCATGCCTGCAATCCCAGCTACTCGGGAGGCTGAGGCAGGAGAATCGCTTGAACCTGGGAGGCGGAGGCTGCAGTGAGCCAAGGTAGTGCCACTGTACTCCAGCCTGGGCAACAAGAGTGAAACTCTGTCTTAAAAATAAGTTCCTTCTATTCAGCCACTTCACTTAACTGGCATTTGGGCTTTCTGATCAGCCCTTCTTTATGTATTTTACTCCTTTCACATTCTTATTTTTATGTTTTCTAAATACACCCAGGGATATAGATCCAAATTCATTCTAGGTTATTTCCTGAAAGTCAGGCCAACTGGCTAGAGATGCATTATTCTAAGTGATAACTTTTCACTTGTGCCACAGAGATAAATGCTAGTAAGCCATGAGGAAGTAATTATAAATATCTTTCTTGGAGGTTGGTGATGGCTAAATCTGCAGCCAGAAAAATTTCAACAGAAACTTGATTATACAGGGCACATGCCCTCAGGACCTCCTGAGGCTGTGTCACAGGAAAAAAAAAAAAAAAAAGAAAGGAAGAAAGAAAAAAAATATATATATATGTTTTTTTAAAAAAAGAAACTTGATTATCCTATTGTTGAAAACTCTTGGTTCCACTTTATCTGATCCCCAAATATCTTTCTTTGATTTTCTGAAGAGTTTTATTTATTCCTTAGGAAACATGGCACAGCCTCCATCACTGCAGTCACTTTCTTCTTTGATTTCTACCATTTTATATATGATCTTCACTGGACAAAGAACAAGTTCATTGCACTAATAAGAATGTTACTTTCTTACCTTACACTAAAGAAACTATAAAGAATACATACAGCCATTTCCCTGTTACATAAAAGTAGACTGCAGAATATATACTTTACTATCTTTCAGGACCTTCTACAAAGGAGAATATATTGTTACATACTGTTTTTAAAAATTATAAAACTGACAACCTCTTGCACTCTCAGAACACATAGAATATAAAAGCATAAACTTTTATATTTTTTCAGACAAAACCTTTATCAATTAAAAAATTCACTATCTCTTTTAGCAACATTCTTTGTGTAAAAACTGGCAACTAATTTTTAAACAGTAGCTAAGAATTTTTAGAAAATAAACAGTATAAAACTTACAAAAATTGAATATGGAAGGGTTATAGTATAAAAAAGGATATTTTAAAAGAAGGACAGAAATCCTCTGTTCTAATCCCAGCCTAAAGACAGCTAGATGTGGAAGCTAAGGTCCGTCACTGAATGTCTATGTGGCCCTCAGTTCCTTCCTTCATGTAACGTGAGCTTTCAATATGGCACACCTTTAAAATCTAAATTCTGAGATTCTAAGAAAAGACAGATTTGAGATAAAGCCCATTTTCTACTATTTCAACTGCTACAACCATAGAAAGAAACTACCTAGCTCTTTTATGTTTACTAAGTAGTAAAAATGTAGTAACCAATTCAACTGTGACATGGTTGCAAAAGGAGATTAACCTGATGAACAAACATCTCAACTGGTACCAAAAGAATTTTCATACTTGTGTAAAGGTGGACAATACCAACATGCCCAAAGTGTTTGATGGAATGATGTAAACTTTCTGTGGTTCCAAAACACCGGGTGATAGGTTACCTTTTGGAGCTTTCAGACTGGAGGATATACAAAGAGTTAATCAAACTAGCATATTGTTTTCACAGAAATTTTTCTAAAAAGGATTTAGAGACTTTTATAGCCAGAAACAATTAGGGAATACTTGTTTCACTATTTCCTTTAAACCAGAAGACGGCTGTATATTTAAAATAAAATTGCAATATGAAAGTCTGCTAAAAGCACTTTTTTTGTTGTTTGTGCATTTTGTTTGTCACCCAATGTCACACTAACAATTCTGCATCTCATTCCAAAGCACATTATACTTAGAGATAAAATGAAAAAGACCATTTTTTGTTTCCCCAAGGGGAAAGTACTTCTGTTAAAAGCATCTTTTTATGAGACTATTCTTTCTGAATTACCAATAATGCAAACCAAAGAATTAGATACTGTACTCTGAAATTTAATATTTGTTCAATTCTTATTCATATCCTATAGTCATCCCATGTGTACAAGGGAAAAGTATGATAAATGCTTAAACGTACTTAAGAACCTGAAAGATTGAACATTTTTGTCCTTCAATCAGCAGGCTGTCAGGTCATGAGTACTCATTTTACAATAAAAGTTTTCCTGCCTTTCCTATTATTCTAACTAAGCTCAGTTAAAAAGAAATAGATTGGCCCACAAAGAAAATGGCCACACTTTTTGTTTTCATGAACCTGATTGTATATACAACTTTATCTTTATTAAAGGTAGACAATCTGATTTCAAACATTATATATAAAATCAAAAACTAAAGAGTTTTTTTAAGAACTTGAAAATAATGAACTGCTTAGAACTACATTCGTAAGTTTGAATATCAGGATCAGAGATGAAATAAGAAATGAAATTAACGAAATTCAGATGAAAGAAATCCATCATGTTTTGTTTTTTTAAATGCTTACACATAATACTTCATGGCGACTTAAAACAATTCCGTTTTCTCATAATACTCAGGAATAAGTATGCTTTTCCGAAGAATCCAATTAGATGTGCGTGCAAACTGTCATACTGGGAACCATTACAAACCAGTAAAAAGCACAATCTAACCTTGAACATTTTTTTCCTTCTGATGTCCAACTAGCAATGGCCAGAAATAGTGAGTTCTGATAGGAAAACCTTCCTCCTTCACAGCCTTCATTAGGGCTTTTGCCAAATCTGAAAGAGATATCATAAAATATCACAAAGCTACCTCAGCAAAACTTCCTTACGTTGGCTTTAACTTTAAGAATGTAGTACCAGTTTTTTTGGCAAGTAAAGCACAATGGAGGGTGAACTGCAGAGGAAAGGAGTGCATCTGGATTTCCTTTAACTTCTTACAGTAGTCTGTTAGCTTCTCCACAGGCTGTGGGAAAAAAGTCACCACATTAGCTGGATTGGCAAACATCTTACCGTTTAAACTGCTGCAAATATTCTATCACTTCTTGAGATGAGCAGTTTAAATCCCGCACTTTTTCTACCCAAAAATCTTGCAACACAAGAACAAGGTTGTTATAATGTTCACAACTGGTCTAATCTCATAAATATTCCTATATTTTAAAGAATCTTATTTCACTGCCAATTATATTGTCTACAAAGTAAAAGTGGACAGAATACCGTATTCATAGTCACACAGTGTCGTAAAAAGAAACTGCCAAAGTCACTTATGCCATCTTCCTTTGATATAGGGCATGCTAGTAAAATTTGCAAAGCTACATCTTCCAATTTTTCAGTGACTAAAAGTAAAATGAGGTTCATTGCATCTGGGAAGAAAACAAAGACATCTTTTGTTAGTAAATTGAACAATGTTTTTACACTGCAACCAATGTTCCGATACTAAAGACAAAATAAGAATTGCAAACATCAAAAGCATATATCTGCCTAAATAACAATAAAACACTTGCAAATCAAATCATCCCCATGTATTCATTAACTCATGTTTTTGGGCTTATTTAACTGACTTTAAGAGTTCTATGTTCAACTCCCACAATGCCCATTGTTAGAAAATGTCCTTTCCATCATATAAGAACAGCAATTCAGATTTTTATAAAAATCATGTAAATAGATTTTTTAAAAACTACCTGGAATATATCTTCTTTCACATGTAACTTTTTCCAAAATTTCTGAGACATACTGAGGATACCCAGCTTTACTGAAGCTAAAAATAATTTGGAATAAATCACGGTCCATAAGGTGAAGCTCGGACTTCTCGACCTTCTCCAGAGTCTATAGAGAGTTCCAGAAATTAGAAGACCAAGTTAGAGTGTTTTTATTTAAGTATTAAAGTTAAATAAATTAAAATATCCAGATTCAAAACAGTAGGGAAAAACACCACCTAAAGCTTTAGGACTTCTTTTAAAACATAAGAAATACTCGGCCAGGTGCGGTGGTTCACGCCTGTAATCCCAGCACTTTGGAAGGCCGAGGAGGGTGGATCACGAAGTCAGGAGATGGAGACCACGGTGAAACCCTGCCTCTACTAAAAATACAAAAAATTGGCCAGGCCTGGTGGCGGGTGCCTGGAGTCCCAGCTACTCGGAGAGGCTGAGGCAGAAGAATGGCGTGAACCTGTGAGGCGGAGCTTGCAGTGAGCCGAGATTGCGCCACTGCACTCCAGCCTGGGCGACAGAGCAAGACTCCATCTCAAAAAAAATAAAAATAAAAATAAATAAAAAGGAAATACTCTACTTCAACAGTAACTGTTATATTATCAGCACCAAGATACTGAACTATAATAATTCTCCATAAATACTACTCTCTGCAAGGAAACATCTTTGAAAACAGGTATAAACTACACTTTGCTGCCTCATATAAAACATAACACAAGTTTTTACAAATGATTTTAAAGTATGTTTATTTAGACATAAGTCATACCTGCTTAACATGGTCAATGTCGCCCTTCTCAGCATATGCATTCAATAATGCGAGGTATGTGTCTGGACCAGGCTCAATTCCAGCCTCTCTCATCACTGTGAGAATGTTTTCTGCATTCTGCATATCACTACAAGTTAATCCAAAAAACAGATTACTTGCCAAATGTAATATAGTTATTCAAACTAAAACATACGCTTATTAAAATCAAAAATGCTAAGTATCATTTGGAATTATGATGTCAGAAAACAAATGTATATTAAACTGGATATATGTTTCTCAAATAAAGATCATAAACATCTGATCCCTCATTAAGAAAAATAATAATTACGCAGACATTAAATAACATATACCCTCTTACATTATACAGGTTATGACTCAGACTTAACTTACAAGGTAAGAATAACGTTTAGTAAATTACTCTTCAAAAATAAAAATATTTTCCAGAGCAGTTACTTCAGATCAAGCCCAGTTTCTTTTTTCTTTTCTTTTCTTTTTTTTTGAGATGGAGTCTTGCTCTGTCTCCCAGGCTGGAGTGCAATGGCACGATCTCGGCCCACTGCAATCTCTGCCTCCTGGGTTCAAACAATTCTCCTGCCTCAGAATCCCGAGTAGCTGGGATTACAGGCACCTGCCATCATGCCCAGCTAATTTTTATATTTTTGTAGAGACCAGGTTTCACCATGTTGGCCAGGCTGGTCTTGAACTCCTGACATCAGGTGATCTGCCCACCTCAGCCTCCCCAAAGTGCTGGGATTACAGGTGTGAGCCACCGCGCCCGGCCTATAGCCCAATTTCTAAAAATTCAAATAAAAGATTTGTGGAATAAATGTAAAAGCACGTTATAAAAATATTAGTATGCTCTACCTCATATACTACAGATTTTTTTTGAAGGGGTAGACAAACATATTTTAGGAGTAGACAAACATATTTTAGGAACTGTCTACAATAATTTTATCTAATTTAAACCCCACTTAACAAACAAAAAAGGAGTAAAATGACCACTTTAGCATCTCAGCCATCTATCACTTAAGAATCAAAACCTCAGGTTAAACATTACCCAGCTCTGGCATGCCCTGTCACAAGGGCACTGAATACTGCCTCTGTAACTGGGAGATCCTTAGTTTTCATAAATCCAAGAATCTTGCTGCAAAGGAAAAACGAAGACACTCATTGGAAGTATTTATCAAGAAAACTCTTTACAACATGTATAGAATTAGGTTAGGCCTTGAGTTACTTTTGTTTTTAAAATATAATAGTAACACACACTTGTTTTAGAAACCACCAAAAAAGAACTGATCCCTTTGATCCCCTTTCCACAAAATCCCACTCTTTAAAGTATCAATAGTCTTGAAGTACTCTTGATACAAATACTAGATTTTTAAAAATCTGATTTGTCTTACACTACTAATTACCCTTGTAAAAGCATAGTTTTGTAAGATTCATTTAGATAAAAATGAAATTATGTATTCCAATTTATCCCTTATTTTCCAAACCTTCCATTCATAAGTAGTAATAAATTTTACATAAGCAGAGAAATGGTGCAACTGATTTTCCATTAGTCAGTGGACTAAAGAGACTATTCCCAGTTTTATAAATGAATACAGCTTAAATAGCTAAGAACATTTCCCTTAGGAAATATTAAAAAAAAAAAAAAAAGCTTTATAGCTCAACAACTTTATACCTCTCTCTAGTAAATCAAATTTTTAATTAAAACAGCAACTTTTACTTATCTTTTCTCTCTTACGCGATAATTTTATATTTTATGTAAGTCAGATTACCAGATTTGCTAGATTAAAACAGTTCTGAAACAATTTCCTTCATTAGGAAGAAGCTTTAAAACAAAGAGTGAACAGACATCTAGAGTTACAAAATGTACACATTTGTTCACTTAAATATGTTCATACAGATCCATACCTGGCACCTTCAATATCTCCCGTATTACAGTAAGAAGCAATCAATCTCTGGTATGTCACCTGTCAATGAAAATGGGCCAGTTAATTTTACATATACTTTTTTTTCTGAGTAAAGAAAAAAAATGGTGGATGTGAAAATATATATTCACAATAGCAACTACTTACTCGATTTGGTTGAATGTTCGCGTCCTCCATTTTTGCCAGGAAATCAGTTGGTGAGAATTTATATTCATTTTGAAGATAGACTTTAAGTAAAGCATTATAGTGACTCACATCATACACAGCACCTACAAATGAAATTTAAAATCAATGTTTAGAAAAGCATTGAAAATCCTATGCTTTAAAGTGGAACTAAATTTAACAAACAAAAAGAGTAAAACTATCACTTCAGCATTTCACCCATCCATCTTTGCACTCAGACCTATCTACACAGATACTCTGTCACACAGAGCAAACTAAGCATGTAAGACAGTAATTACTGAATTATTGTATAGTCACAAGTAACTGCCTATTCAGATATTAAAAGGCCTCTTACTTAAGAAGTACAAAATTATCTTCCTGTTAGAAAACGCTGACAACACCCCTATATTTAAAAGTGACTATAAGATTTTTCTATATAAAGCAGTCCTCACATTACAGACACACTGTGATGAATGGATTGTAACTTCAGTTCTTTCACACAGTAGGACTGTGCTGGCAATTCTGCCACTCAAAGCCTTCATTTGAAGGATGCATTCCATTTTCAGCTAATGAACATGATCCATGGTCTGCTCTTGTTAATGATCGGTATTCCAATGCCCTTTGTTTTCTTTGTATCCCTACTATTTAGGGCCACATCAAATAAGGTTACCACACATCCTTACTCTACTCAGTCATGACATCACAGTCCTTATATCAATTTTGTGGTAACATGACTCACTATATTTTCATGAATTTCACATCTTTATTCTCCTGCCTGTGACCATACAGGCCTACGGTCAGTATTTAGGGGTCAGATTATGAGATTTTAGGCAGCAGAGACCTGTTCCATTAAATTAATACACATTTTTATCTTAACAGATACGTTTCTTTCATACTTACTATGTTTCAGGCACTATGCTAAGTGTTCTACATATAGTGGCTCACTTAAACTTCACAACAACTTTGAGACACTACTATCACCCCCATCTTACAGATAGCTTAGATCTGTCAACAGCTCATTCTGTAATTTTGGACAAGTTACTTAAACTAAAAGATCTCTTATATCTTTATAAATCTGTAAACGAGTCAAACTTGTGAAGTACAAGGTTTCTGGCAATATTAATTCAACAAGTATGTATCAAATGCCATTATACACAAAGCATCATGCTACTGGCAAAGCAGGAAAATAAAGAAGCTATGGATTTAATCCTCATAAAGCATACACTTATATAGGAGAGACTATTTGTAAATAATTTTAAAATAATAACACATTGTCAATCTTTCTATGGAGGTATCAATATTATTACTGCTGTGTAATGCTTTTTTCTATTTTAGAATGTAACCTTTTCTGCATACATTTCTCCCAGTTCAATGACTTACTGACATATAGAAATTTCTAATTTTTAGAGATTGAATACTTTAGCTTTACTTTTCTGCTCCTTTTATACTTATAAAATCCTTTTCCATTCTGAAATTCAACATTTATTTATATATTTTTTAACTTAAAAAAAATCAACTTATCAAAATGTATTCTAGATGTATTCAAAACTATGAAGGAAGAATCTGTCTTTATCCTAGTTTTTTCACATAGGTCCTACACACTTTTTGAAGAACAGTTGTAAATATTTTATTTATTTGTGGCCATACTTTATTGGATTCTTGTATCCATTTTCTTTTATAACTAGAAGAGGTATGGATTCTTAAACATTTAGTAAGTCAGCTAATTACTGTGAGTTGATTTTCTGGGATTTTACAGATTAAACAATCACATCATCTAAAAATGATAATTTCTTGTACTGTTTCACATCTTATTTCATTGCATTATACATGATTGTTGTTGGTTTTAGATTTTTAACACATTAAAGAAGCATCCTTCTATATGTTAAGATTTTTTAAAATCAGGAATGAACATTAAATTTTATTAAACGATCTTTTTTCAAATTATTTTTTGAATATGTACATTACATGACTTAAAATTGAAAAGGTATAAAAAGGTAGAGTAAAACCTGTATCCAGTGTTCATCATCCTTCCAGAAATATTTTAATACTGTATACACATGCACATGTATGAACATTTTTCTTCAAAATACTATCATTCTATACATTCTGGTCTACACCTTAATTTTTATTTATACTCTGGAGAACACCCCCATTGGTATATAAAGAGCTTCTTCATTTCTTAAAACAGTTACACAGTAATCTATTTTATGGGTACTCCACGATTTATTTACCTAATCCCCTAGAGAGGAATATTTGAATCGGTTCCAATTTCTTACTACTACAAACAAGCTACAATGAAGAATATCCTTTTGCATCTATATCTGTATCTAAATTCAAACAAATGGAACTGCTTGGTAAAATGGTATGTGCATTTATAACTTTGACAGACAAACTGGCTATTTTGTTCTTTTTATTTTTTAACTTACCATACTTGTAACACTTGTTATGAAAAATTATTTATTGTTAATGCCCCTAGATGTCACTATACCTCACCAAATAAATATTACCAAAAAATTATGAATCAAGTAGCCCTTCCATAAAGCTGAATTATACCATTTATGTAAACAAACATTTTTTTGCAAAAAGAAAAAATATCTACACCTTTTATACACATCATATATTTAAACAATCATACCTAATTTCTGAAGTTTGTCCCATATCCTATGAGCAAATTCTGTTCTCTCTTCAAGCTTTAGTTCAGGCAAGAGAGAACCACAGCTACGTAGTAGAAGCAAGGCGTGACTGCTTCCTGGGCCACCTGTGGAAAAAAGGTTAATGGATAACATTTAACATAGTAGCAATATCATATAGATAAATACCAAAATTTACACAGAAATCTATAAGCATTCAAAAATCTCCTGGCTCAAATTGAGAGTGTCCATAAATTAGAAAAATCCTATCCTAATGTACAATGTTACTAAGTTACAAGTCAAACTTTTAATATTAGTCTGCTTTCTTAAGAAATCTAAGTTATAAAATCTATATAATCTGCAAGACTGTATCAAACACAAAAATACAAAGAATCTAATTTATAGGCAGTGCTTGCTACAATTCAAAGGCTAAACTTCTCAGTATCTTATGAAAATAGTATAAAGGGCCAGGCGCAAATCCCAGCACTTTGGGAGGCTGAGGCGGGCAGATCACCTGAAGTCGGGAGTTTGAGACCAGCCTGATGAACATGGAGAAAATCTGTCTCTACTAGAAACATAAAATTAACTGGGCGAGATGGCACATGCCTGTAATCCTAGCTACTCGGGAGGCTGAGGCAGGAGAACTCTTGAACCCGTGAGGCGGAGGCTGCATTGAGCCATTGCACTCCAGCCTGGGCAATAAGAGCAAGACTCCATTTCAAAAAAGAAAAAAAGAAAGAAAGAAAATACTGTAAAGCAGTGTAATTATCATCCAGGAATAGAAAAGTTAGGTTCATAATCAGCTACAATATAAGCTTCCCTCTCCCTACATCTGTAAGCTTTATCTACATATCTTTGAAAGCTGACTTTAAAACAAAGCAAAAATAAACCACTTAGTGTGATTCCATTTATACAAAATATCTAGAGTAGTGCAAACCTACAGGGACAGAAAATAACTAGTGGTTGCCTAGGGCTGGAAGGGATGAGGAGTTGGGGAATTTCTTTTTGGGGTGATGAAAATGTTCCAAAATTTATTGTAGTGATGGATAAATAAAGTTAGAGAGAGAATGTGACACAGGTTCTTTAAATGTACGTAACAATAGTAATAATTGATACTTCTTTGGTATCTCTCACCATCAGATTCTATATCTACGCTTCTAAGTGTGTCTGAAACCCATGAATAGGCTTTAAGAAGCTACTGAATCCTCTTAAACTGCATGCAAAATTATGCATATGTTTGTGTGAGGTTTTGGGGGGTCGGGGACAGGGAGTGAAGGACCTATAGCTTGCATCAGGCATTAGTGACCCAAACAGATTTTTAGTAGCTAATTGAAAATGCAAGGAAAATAATGGAAATCTGTCATATGTGATCATCTTACAGAAACCTGACACTCTACAATGGAAGGTAAGAAAAATTAGTATCTTCCAAGAAACTTACTACTAAAAGTGACTCCATAAACTAGGAAAAGCAAAAAGGCAATTTTTATTTTCTGATTTGGAATAAATATCTAGACCAGGCATGGTGGCCCATGCCTGTAATCCCAGCACTTTGGGAGGCCAAGGCAGGTAGATCACGAGATCAGGAGTGCGAGACCAGCCTGGCCAACATGGTGAAACCCCATCCCTATTAAAAAATACAAAAATTAGCTGGGCGTAGTGGCATGCGCTGGTAGTCCCAGCTACTTGGGAGGCTGAGGCAGGAGAGTTGCTTGAACCCGGGAGGCAGAAGTTGCAGTGAGCCGAGATTGTACCACTGTACTCCAGAATGGGCGACAGAGCGATACCCCATCTCAAAAAACAAACAAACAAAAATTTTAAAATGTTTTAGTTACTCCAAACTTTGCCCAGATGAGCTGACAAGATAGAAATCACAATCATAACATAAATGACAATCAACAGAATATAACAAAGAAAATTAAAGTATCAAATAAGCTACTCTGTAATGAGCTTACCCTCAAACAAGTATTTATTTAGGTTGATGCAAAAGTAATTGCAGCCATTATGTTTAATGGCAAAAACTACAATTACTTTTGCACCAACCTAATATTTAAGACTTTTTTTGTTTTAAAGACAGATGTCTCTCTCTGTCACCCAGGCTGGAGTGCAGTGGTGTGATCTTAGCTAACTACAACCTCTGCCTTCTGGGTTCAAGTGATTCTCCTGCCTCAGCCTCCCACATAGCTGGGACTACAGGCACGCGCCACCATACCTGGCTAATTTTTGTATCTTTAGTAGAGATGGGGTTTTGCCATGTTGACCAGGCGGGTGTCGAACTCTTGGCCTCAAGAGATCTACCTACCTCCCAAAGTGCTGGTATTACAGGCCTGAGCCACTGTGTCCACCCAAAGGTCTACTTTATGAACAGGAAATTTTGACATACCTGAGCGGCAGGTGTCATCAAAGACTTTTTGTAGAAGCATCTTTGGAATGCGGCCAGTTCTTCGAACAGAATTATCTAGTCTCATCAGAGCCCAATCAAAGTGATTGGCAATCCTTCTAGAAGAAAAAGTGGACTCCTCTTGAATATCCTTTTTTTCAGCAGCAATGACATACAGCCTGGCTGGGCTCAGTAGTCCTCTAAAAAATGAAACATAATTAATAATAGTTGCTATCTATTTAGGTCATTTTTTGAACAAAACTTACACAAATTTTTAAATCAGTTATTAAACACCTAAAATCACAGTACAATACCAAAAATAAAGGTATGAACTAATAGGAAAGAAAGTTTTAGCTTTTGCTTTAGATAAAATCATATACACACATACATAAATTATATGCACAGTAAATCTCCTGAATAATTGAGAGCATTTTGGTAATTTTGAACATGGAATCATTTCAAAATCAGATGGAAATATGGTGTGTTTTAAGTGTTTTTTAAATCTCTCTTAACCAAAACAAGGTAATGAAAGACGAAGCAGTTTATGCTGCAAAGCTCTTCTCACCTCTGTAAATAAGACGAAATCTAATATATATCCAAAATTTTTACAACTACCTTTAAGTTTTCTAGGTATAAGCTTACTATGAATTTAAAAGAAGACCAATGTCCAGGTTAAAACAAGGCAGTTTCTTTTTTTTTTTTTTTTTTTTTTTGAGACGGAGTCTCGCTCTGTCTCCCAGGCTGGAGTTGCAGTCTCAGCTCACTGCAAGCTCCGCCTCCCGGGTTCACGCCATTCTCCTGCCTCAGCCTCCCGAGTAGCTGGGACTACAGGCGCCGCCACCTCGCCCGGCTAGTTTTTTGTATTTTTTAGTAGAGACGGGGTTTCACCATGTTCACCAGGATGGTCTCGATCTCCTGACCTCGTGATCCACCCGTCTCGGCCTCCCAAAGTGCTGGGATTACAGGCTTGAGCCACCGCGCCTGGCCTTTTTTTTTTTAAAGGATAATTTAGGCCCAAATAATTTCTAATCTGTCTAAATAAAGTTGAAACACTTTAGAGTGATAATACTCTTAATTCTTATTTGCTGTGCAACTGTCAAAATGTTAGCTGTATTCTTTCCTAATTACTTAAAACAACTGCCACCAAAAATAAATAAAGTGTTAAACATCGTTAATTTTAAGGAAGCCAAAAGGGAAAGAAAATGATTACAAATTAGGTACGGTCAGAATTGTACATTATGTGTTTATAAAGATCAAGCAATCTTCAAACCATTCACTATTTTAGTAATGGAGTCGAATATGCAAGTCAAACGCTCTCTAACATGAAATCTGAGGGATTCTATGCTGTACCGTTTTTTTTAAATAAACACAATTTTTTACAGAGACTGACTAGGAACAAAAAAACCACAATTTTTTAGAGTATTTTTAGGTTTACAGAAAAATTGTGCATTAAGTAGAGTTCCCATATATTTTCTTCTCTAGGCTATTCTAGGTAAAAATGTAAGCTGTACCTGATTTAAAAGTATCAGATAAAAAATAATTCTTACGTGTGAAGGAAAACTTATCAATCTGAGTTGAATTTAAAAATGCTTTCTCTGTATTTAAACATCATTTTTAACAAGTGATTTCTAATTCTCAGTGGTTTACATATTTGTTGCCAATATCTTAGTTACAGCAGCCACTAAATACATTACACACTAAGTATATAATAACTAAGTATAATATAATCACATTTTCCAGACATACACATTTTCATCACAACGGTGACTTTAAAAATAAAACTTACATTTCTGTCCTATGTTATTAATCTGAAAAAAACCAGTCACAAATTGAATATCAAGTATGTGATGTTTTATTAAAGGAAGCTATACTAGAAGTTTCACCTCAAGGTTATATAAAACGAGGCTGTAATTGATACTAAACTAGAAATTCTACCACTGTGATCTGGGAGAAATCATGACTCTAAAACATTAGTGATTCCACCATCTAGGTGGAAAATAATGGAAAAAATCAGGATACTGACTAAATAAGACAATGTCTTATTTTTGTAAGACCAATGATCAGCACATTGTAGATGGCTAATAGACTCAAGTTTGTTAAACGAGCTGAATTTTAACCTACAAACCACAGAAGATATACTCTTAAACAAAATATGTATCCCTTACTTCCAAAAGGCATTTATCTGGTTGCTATATCAGTTGTTACTAAACTATCCCCTTCTTAATGTTCGACAAGCACAAAGTGACATTATTTTTCAATTACCCAGGACGTGACAGTTTGGAGGAGTATGCAATAATATTATTCAACAACAAAAGCTGATTAATAGAAATTTCAAAATTGTGACATCTATTTGCCAAAGTTTTTTACACAACGTGAATCTGATAAACTGTTAAAGAGCAAAAATAAAACTTCCGCTACAGGATATTTTTTAAATTTAAGAGGAGACAAACTCAAATTTCAGGAAGAAAACAGATATTTATAAACCAGCACATTGTTCTGAACATTCTAGGCAAATTTTTCTGATACACATGTCTTTACTGCAGCCGAGACTCCTTCACAGAAGCGTGTTTGGCTTTTTAGTTAAGTAGAAACATGAATCTGTTATAAAATAAACTGGGGTAGAGGAAGGATTACATATTTAACCAAAGAAGTCTTGACTCTTCAGTTATATGGTCCAGAACTGATTTTTAAATGTACTCTAATACATCCTGGAAACAAGAGTTTCACAGCCTGGAGCAATGGGCATGTCGTGACAGACAAGAAAGAACAGAACAAGTCCAGGGGTGAAGGTGGGCCCTGCAAGATCATCACACCCACCAGGCTTGCACGAGCTGGAGCACAATGCCTCCAAATGCTAAGCACCAAAATTGACATAACCACGTAAGGGGAAATCATTGGATCATCTCATCCAAGTATCATACTGGCTCCTTTCCACTTCTTAAATGTCTCAGGTTCCCTTCACAGACTCCAGCTCCTACCACTAATATTCAAATTACCCATAAATGTTTTCTTGTAAAATCTGCCATTTAAAGTTATTATCTCTCAGCTTTTTTTAAAAAAATTAAGGTGGGTTTTTTTTTTTAGCTCTTTAATAGAAACTATCTTACAGTTGAGTGTCCATTTAAAAAAAATATATATATATGTAAAAAAAATAAAACGGACCAGATTATCCTACTAAGCAGGCTTCCGTGGGACCCTCCCCCCTACTTTTAAGCCTGTACCATTTAAAAAAAAAAAAAAAACAAACACCATTTTTTGATAAGCAGAGACTGACTAGAAAAAAACCAACTTTTTAGAGTGTTTTTAGGTTTACAGAAAAATTGTACAGAAAGAAGAGTTAACATATACTTTCTTCTCCCTCCTGTTTCCCCTAGTAACATTTTGCTTTAGTGTGGTATACTTGTTACAAATGATGAACCGATATTGATACATTATCCATCAACCAAGGTCCATAATTTACATTAGAGTTCACTGTGTGCATACATGTTTTGACAAACATATGACATGATACCTTCACAGTATCACATGAAATAATTTCACCGCCTTAAAAATGCCCCGTGCTCTCTATTCATTCCTTCCAACCTCTTTCCAAACCCCTGGCAACCACTGATTTTTACCTGTCTCCAGTTTTGCCTTTTCTAGAATGTCATATGGTTGTATCATACAGCATGCTGCCTTTTCAGATTGGCTTCTTTCACCTAGCAACAAACATTTACGGTTCCTCCATGTCTTTTCACAGCATGACGGCACACTTCTTTTCATTGTTGAATAATGCTCTTTTGTACAGATATACATAATTTGTTTACCCATTTGCCTACTGAAGGACATCCTGGTCGCTTCCAATTTTTTGACAATTATGAATAAAGCTGCTATAAGCATTTGTGTGAAGGTTTTGGTATGGACATAAATTTTGAACTCATTTGGGTAAATACCTCTACATTTAGCTTTGTAAGAAACTACCAAACTATCTTCCAAAATAGCTATACCATTTTGCTTTCCTACTAGCAATAAATGAGAGTTCCTGTTGTCCTACATCCTTGCCAGTATTTGGGGTTTTCGATGTTTTGCTGGATTGTTGCCATTCTGATAGTGGTATCTCATTGTCGTTTTAATTTATATTTCTCTGTGACATAAGCTGTTGAACATCTTTTCATATGCTTATTTGCCATCTATATGTCTTTTCTGGTGAAGTATTTTCTGCCAATTTTTACTTATTTTATTTTATTTTGAGATGGAGTCTTGCTCTGTCCCCCAGGCTGGAGTGCAGTGGTGCTATCTCAGGTCACTGCAACCTCTGCCTCAGGATTCAATCGATTCTCCTGCCTCAGCCTCCTGAGTAGCTGGGATTACAGGCACACACCACCATGCCCAGCTAATTTTTATATTTTTCATAGAGACGGGGTTTTATCATGTTGTCCAGGCTGGTCTCAAACTCCTGGCCTCAAGCAATCTGCCCACCTTGGCCTCCCAAAGTGCTGGGATTACAGGCATGAGCCACCGTGCCCACGCCATACACGTTCTTAAAACTCTTCTCTCCCCTTTTTTTCTTCTTCACTGATAATCAGTTTAGTGTCACTTTAGAGCTATGAAGAGTTTAAAGGGAGATACAGGTAGAAGATAGAAGAGGCATTATTAATAGCTAATGTTTATCACGTGCTTAATTTTTGCTGGGTATGAGAAAATTATAACTTACAAATTAAAAAAATGAAGCAACTTGCCCAAAGTCATCACAGTTAAAACTAATGATAGGGCCAGGGTTAGCACTCAGATGGTCTCATTCTAAAATGAACTCAATGTGGCAAAAGGGCATCAAAGAAACTAATCTGGCTGCAATGGGGTGTTCACACCAGAAAGTGGTAAAAAATTAAACCTAGACAGTGAGTGAGACTAGATAATGGAAAGTCTCCAGTGGCAGATAAATAAGGGATTTGGATTTTATGACATACTTGTAAAGTACAAAACTAGCTTTCATAGAGTTGCTCTCTCAACTTACTTTGTTGCACTATAATGTGGAAATATGGGGAGCTCAAATTCATCTCTTACGTTTTCACCAATCCCTAATTTAACTATTCCACTTGGGTTTTCTTTAGCCTGTTGATACACTGGATCATGTGGATTGATTTTCAAATGCTGAACCAGCCTTGCACACTTGGAATAAATCCCACTTGATCAAGGTACATAATTCTTTTTATATACTGCT